GCACCGACCTGTGAGCCAGGAGGTCAGGGTTCGATTCCCGGTCAGGGCACAGGCCCGGGGTGCAGGCTCCATCCCCAGTGGGGGGCGTGCAGGAGGCAGCCGATCCATGATTCTCTCTCATTACTGATGTTTCTCTTTTTCTCTCCTCCCTTCCTCTCTGAAATCAATAAAAATTATATATTTTTTAAAAATATGATGTGTTTTATAAACTTGAACCCCACTTACAGGATCTAAGTTTTGTCTAGAAATTCTAACACAAAAGTATTTAAAGGGAAAACAATATTTATCAACAAATCATTCAAAAACAGAAGGAGCAGCTGGCTGAGTCCTGCTTTGGGCCGAAGGAAGCGTGAGTCTGACTCGGTTTACCCCAGGGGGACCCAGGCTTTGTGGAGCCTGAAGCTCGCGGTGTGGGAGCCCCCTCTGTGGAAAAGACTGCAGCACTGAGATATAAAATCGCCCTGGCCAGTGCGGCCCGAGGACTGGAGGGTCCCAGTTCTATTTCAGTTGAGAGCATGTGCCCAGGGGCAGGCTCAGTTGCAGGCTCGACCCCCAGACGTGGTCAGGGCACACGCAGGAAACAACCACCCGATGTGTCTCTCTCACATGGATGTCTCTCTGTCACTCCTCCCCCTCCCTCTCTCTCTGAAAATCAGTGGAAAACAAACACACAGACGCGTCGATGCAGGTAATTAAACTAGAGGCAGGATTCCTGCATAGGGCTCTGGCAGCGGGCTGCTTCCCTCCCTCCTCCCCGCCCCGCGTGCTTCTCCGCAGCTCCGCTCCCTCCTGCAGCTCGGCTTCCTTCCACGCTGTCTCCAGTCTTCGCTCTGTGCCTGGATATGCAAATTAACCACCATCTCGGTTGGGTTAATTTGCATACTTGCTCCTGGTTGGCTAGTGGGCGTAGTAGAGGTACGGTCCATTTGCATGTTTCTCTTTTATTAGATGGGAATAGCAAATAGTTGTTTAAATGTTACCAGGACTCACACAAAAAATTAAACACCAACAAAAATCACAAATAGTACAAAGCTCTGCAAACACCTCTCACTGCTGAGCTGTCTGACAGGCTTCTGCAGCGTGTGCCTGTGGGCCAGCTCAGCTCCGCCTTCTCGAACGGCGTCCTCCTCCAGGACGAGTCCTGGCCGATGTGATGGCCACGTTCTCGCTGGACCAGGACCCCTGGTCCTGCACCCCCATTGCCACAGACTCGAGGTGCGTTGGGGAGGGGCCGGCAGCGACCCCGGAAGCCGTCCCCCCACCAGGACAGCTCGAAATGGCTTCGTCAGATGCAGTGACTGCAGACTGTCAGTCTGCCCCAGCACCCACGTGACATGTGTCCCCACCCCCTCCCCACCCAGACCCCAAATGCCTCCCAACGGCAGGAGGTGCTGCCCGGGGGCCCCCAGCGGAGAGCAGCTCCGTCTACACCAACCGCAGCCAAAGGGCCCCACTGAGGCACGTCTCTCCCAAACTCGGGGCCACGGGACAGCGGGTTAAGGAGGAGGACGACGGTCTGTTCTGTGCAATGTCCGTGGCCGGGTGCTAAGTTTAAAGTTCATGACCCCTTTCTCTTTTCAACAACCGTGGGATGTTTCTGCTCGTGTGTCTTTGACTTCAGACAAGATCTGACGTAAAAAAGGAAAGGAGGAGTCTTGCTCTTCGGTTTCCTGTGAGGGAACAGGAGAAGTCTCGGGTAACGATGTTTTTTTTTGTTTGTTTGTTTGTTTGTTTGTTGTTGTTTTTTAAATATATATTTTATTGATTTTGTACAGAGAGGAAGGGAGAGAGATAGAGAGCTAGAAACATCGATGAGAGAGAGTCATCGATCAGCTGCCTCTTGCACACCCCCTACTGGGGATGTGCCTGCAACCAAGGTACATGCCCTTGACCGGAATCGAACTCGAGTCCCTTCAGTCCTCAAGCCGATGCTCTATCCATTGAGCCAAACCGGTTTCGGCTCGGGTGACGATGTTGACGTGCAGTCCTGTCCTCTGTGGGCAATTAAACCGTGTGGTCTTCATGCCACGTTCTCAGCCTCGAAATGTGATCGCTCACCAAAGCGAGAGAGAAGCCACGGGGACATTTAAACGGGAGTTCAGGAACACGTGTCAGCGGGAACTCTACAAAACGAGGCGTCTTCCCCGCACCTTTCAAACGTGCGTTTGTGCAGACACTGATGGAGCCTCTGCTGAGTTCCGGCCACCGAGGCCCGCAGAGGTGAGCTCTGAGGTGTTTGGGACGATTAGAGATAATAAAACAGCCAGTGCAGCTCTGCCAGTGTGGCTCAGTGGATAGAGCGTCGGCCTGCAGACTTAAGGGTCCCGGGTTCGATTCCGGTCAAGGGCATGTATCTTGGTTGCGGGCTCTTTCCAGGTCCGGGCCCTGGTCAGGGTGTGTGCAGGAGGCAGCCTATCCATGTGTTTCTCTCACATCTCCGTGGGTGGTCTTTCTGCCCCCACCCCCACCCCGTTAGCTCAGCCCGCCTCTCTGTGACAGAGGTCCCATCGCCCACTGGGACTTCCTCCCGCCCCGTCCGTGTGATTGACACCTGCCCACCCACAGGCCCGCCTCCAGGCGAGGAACACGGTGCCGGGACTTGCCGTGATGCCTCCGGGCTGACACACCACGGGCAGATGGAGGTTCCACCAGCATCCGCCGGGTGAGGGAGTGAATGTGTGACGGTCGTAGGCCTTGCTTGGCACTCACTCCTCGGGGAGAATTACGAGAATCACTTTCCGGGTCCCGAGACGTTCGCTGTGAACTGGGACAGACCCAGCCCAAGTCTCACTCGCCCACTGGTTGCCCTCTGGAGGCCGGAGGTCATGTCCTTCGGATGACCCTGAACGTGACGCCTCCTCCTGCTGCCAAGTAAGACAGGACGGCAGGCACAGGCCCCGGGACGCGCTGTGCCATCAAAGTCCTTGCCGACTGTAAACTCCACGTAAAAGCCATTAATTACGTGTAAAATGAGGACCTGGGTCGCCCAGATTTCTTTTTATTGATTTCAGAGGGGAAGGGAGAGGGAGAGGGAGAGAAAGAAGCATCCATGATGAGAGAGAACCATGGATCGGCCGCCTCCTGCAGGCCCCTCACTGGGGATGGAGCCTGCACCCCGGGCCTGTGCCCTGACCGGGAATCGAACCCTGACCTCCTGGTTCACAGGTTGACGCTCAGCCCCTGAGCCAGGCCGGCCGGGCACCTTTGAGGGAAGGACTCTTTCTCTGGGTCCCTGAGCCTGAGGACGTGCAGATCGCTGAGCTGTGCGAGTGTCCGGGATGTGAGCACCTGGGCAGGCAGCCGGCTCCTCGGCCAGAGCCTCCGTCCACGGGTTCACAGGCCCCACGTCATGGCCTGGTGGACAGAGCCCAGCCACACCCCACACACGTGTGTGAGCTTCCATGGGCTGGTGCAGTGTTCCAGGCCCAGCCACATGCCACACACGTGTGTGAGCTTCTGTGGGCCGGTGCAGTGTTCCAGGCCCAGCCACACCCCACACACATGTATGAGCTTCTGTGGGCCGGTGCAGTGTTCCAGGCCCAGCCACACCCCACACACATGTATGAGCTTCTGTGGGCCGGTGCAGTGTACCAGACCCAGCCACACCCACACACGTGTGTGAGCTTCTGTGGGCCGGTGCAGTGTTCCAGGCCCAGCCACACCCCACACACATGTATGAGCTTCTGTGGGCCGGTGCAGTGTACCAGACCCAGCCACCCCCCACACACATGTGTGAGTTTCCGTGGGCCGGTGCAGTGTGCCAGACCCAGCCACACCCCACACACGTGTGTGAGTTTCCGTGGGCCGGTGCAGTGTGCCAGACCCAGCCACACCCCACACACATGTATGAGCTTCCGTGGGCCGGTGCAGTGTACCAGACCCAGCCACCCCCCACACACATGTGTGAGTTTCCGTGGGCCGGTGCAGTGTGCCAGACCCAGCCACACCCACACACGTGTGTGAGCTTCTGTGGGCCGGTGCAGTGTTCCAGGCCCAGCCACACCCCACACACATGTGCGTTTCCCTGGGCCCAGGAAGTGGTTAGCAGACCGCAGACGGCTCCTGAGCACCTTCCGTGGAACCAGCAGGGGCGTGAGGACCTGACTGGGAAGGAGCCAGCTTCACCCTCAGGAGCGTTGGGCTTGACAAAGCGGAGCTCCAGCCAGCGAGACGAGAGGCGCCCCGGAGTGCAGACTCCCCAACATCACAGGCGCTTCCGATGCTGCTGCTGTCCCACGAACAATAGGGTCCCGAGGGAAGGAGGCAAGAAACACAGGCCTCTGCCACAGGGGAGAGGCTGTGTCTGAGCTGCTGTTTCTCTCTGGGCCAGAGCTCAGGGCCCCTGAGAACATCGTGGGAACTCTTCCACAGCCTGAGGCTCCACCCTCTCAGGCTGAGCTCTGGGCAGGGCTGGGGAGGCCCGAGGGGACGGTCACTAATGACCGCAGGGACGCCCCAGTGCCCGGCAGCCGGGAAGGGCCCCTCCTCACGGCCAGCACGGACACACACAGACGCACATGGACACACACGGACACACACGGACGCACACAGACACACACGGACGCACACGGACGCACACGGACACTGTCAGCATCTTTGGGGTCAATCCCAGAGTTACTTTTATTTTTTTTTAATAACAGCTTTATTGAGATATAATTCACATACTATAAAATTCACCCCTTTAAAATGTACAATTCAGTGGTTTTTATTATGTTCAGAGTTGTAACAATCTAGCAATTATCTAGCAAAGAGATATCTAGCTGAGCTCAGTGGCTAGAACCAGAGACTGCAGATTGAAAGGTCTAGGGTTTGATTCTACCTCAGTTTCAGGCTCCTTACCCAGCCCCTGCCCTGGTCAGGAGTCATGCAGGAGGCAACCAATAGTCCCTCTCTCTTCCACTCTCCAGCAATCAATGGGAAAATGCCCTCGGTGAGGATTAACAACAAACAAGAAGGTGGATAATCTGGTCAGAAGGTCAAATCTCCAAAGTGCTTGCAAGCTACTCTTCCTCTGAAGCCTCTTCGCCCCAAGGTGGCCTGAAGGCAGGGGACGGGGACTGAATGTTCTCGAGCATCTCCTGGAAGGCCTGTGGGGACGGCGCCTCGGCATTCGGGAAGGTGACCTGGACTCTGTGGTACAGGCTGAGGCAGTTGGGGTACAGCCAGATGAACCCGAAGTGATCCTCGTCGAACAGGAGGAAGACTCCGGGGATGCGCTGTGTGTAGGCGAAGCCGTAGAAACACATCCTGCAGGTCCGGGGGTAGTTCTGGATTCCTGAGCTCATGCCCGCAGGCAGAACAAACTGCACGGGCTGCTCTGCCAGAGCTGCAGCCGGGGACTCCCCGACACCGGGCTGCACGGGGCTCAGCCAGCCATGGCCCTCGCCATCCTCGGTCCTGTCTTCTCGCTGCTGCTGCTCCCGGATCACCTGCTCATGCACCTCCTGGATCAGGCGGGGGTACTCACTGAAGCAATGGGGCAGCTGGATGCGGCGCCCGAGGTGGATCTCCAGCACCTGCTGCCCGGCGGGGACGTGGCGGTCACCCGTGACCTTCGTGACCCTGGCGTGCTCCCCGTGGAAGCTGAGCAGGACCACCTCCAGGCTGTAGGCGTTGTGGGTGCCCTGGAAGAGGCCCGGCCTGATGAGGTCCCCCGGCTGGCTCGGCGGGAGGTAGAGGCGGCGGTAAGCCCAGCTGTTGTCGAACCGACGGCAGACGAACTTATTCAGGACGAAGCGCAGCCTGTCGTTCTGGAGAACGTCCGGCAGCGCCCGCCCCCATTCTTCCCTCAGCCACGTCCCTAGCTCCTGGGTGCTCCAGTCAGAGATCCTGTGGTGGCCGGGCAGGCGGCACTGGGTGCAGAACCCGTCCTTCCCAATCCGGTAGCGGCAGCCGTGGGGCCCCCGGCGGCCCAGCAGGCACTCCACCGCCACCCGCGTCCGCCCCGTCAGGCTAATCCTGAACGCGGGCTTGAATTTCATCGCGTCACACACCGAGGGGTCGTGGAGTGGCAGGTACGTCCAACCGAAGATGCACAGGCCGTGCACCGCCACCCCCAGCAGTCCTCCGTAGGGCTGGTTATCCGGCTGCCACAGTCCCAACACGTGCCTGTAAGGGTGGAGCAGCTCCGCATAGAGTTCTCGGCATGACACGCCCACCGTCTCCAGGTCCCGCCAGTCTCCGCCACAGCCGTACTCCTCCCGGCAGCGCCGCCTCCAGATGCTGTCCACGTGCAGGAGGCGGCGGAATCTGGTGCAGGTCTGGGCCACGCGAGCCAGGTCGGTGCCGGGGAGCGAGGCGAAGATCTGCACCAGCAGCTCCGGAGGCAGGTCCTGCAGCGAGCAGCAGCGCGGGGACAGGACGGGTGCCGCGGGGCTCCTGGTCCCGCCCCTGCCCGCAGAGGACCCAGCCACCGCCGTGTTGGCAGCCGCGTGCTGCTCTCCAGGGGCCGGGGCCGGCCTGCTGTCGGCTGCCGCCATCTCAGCTGGTCCCCGGTGGTGCTGGGGACCCTGGCATCCCTGCGGAAGGCCCAAGCAGCAGAGGCAAGCGCACTCCTCCTCCATGCCTGGACCAGTGACAGCCGACTGTCGCATCGACCTCCGCAGCCCGGCTTTTAAACCCGCACCTTCCGCCCAAGGAGATACCCAATCCTATTACCATTCACCTCCTTTCTCAGTGCTCCCTCCCTGTGCTCCCACCCTAGCCCTGGCCCCAGGCAGCCACTAATCTGTGTTCTGTCTTGATATGCCTCCAGGGATATGTCACAGAAATGCAGTCTTACTACCTGGTCTTTTGTGACTGGCTTCTTTCACTTAGCAAAACATTTTAAAGTTTTGTGTATATGTGCTATATCATGTCTTGGTATTTCGTTTCTTTTATATTGGCGAATAATGTTCTAGTGTATGGGTGTGCCACATTTTGTTTACCCTTTCATCAGTAGATGAATATTTGGGTTGTTCCTGTTACCCCCAGACTCAAGGACCACCAGGGAGCCGAGTCCGATGCAATAAACAAAAGAGCCTCTTCCAGGCTAGCATGGGCTCTGTCCCACTCACGCCGGCAGCATGGCGGAAGAGAGAGCAAACTTCGCCAAGCCCTGGGGTTTTACTCCAGTGGTGATGTTACTGCTTCGGCTGACCCCGATTGGATGGGTGAGGGCTAGGAATAACTCCGCCCTGCCCCACAGTGGAGTCAGGAGTTTTATCCTTGCCCCACCCTGCCCTCTCATCCCCCCTTGACTTATGTGTATGAGTCAAATCATTGACTCAGCCTACTTCTTTTCAGCATAAACAACAAATACAGTTACTAAGACCCTTAGGGCCACAGTTCCCATCAGTATTGTCCTCACTGAAGTCCAGTGCCCCTCCTGCAGGCATCAGCTCTCCTCCTGGCCTGCGTGGAGCCCAGGCTGGGGATCTCACAGGTGAGGCCACTAGTTGCCAGGATCCAAGCCATGCAGAAGCTGGGAGTCATGTAGTCAGGTCTGGGTGCCGTTTCAGCAGCCGTGGGTGTGCTCAGGATAACAGTGTAGCATCCCTTTGAGTCCTTGGGCAGTGAATTTCTTTACCCACACTGAGTTCCCGGGGTACAGGGTCTGTGGTGGGCACTGGCAGTGCATCTGGAACAAGCAAACTGCAGAGCCTGTAAGGACTTGAGCAAGGGAACGGTTACCATACATGATCCCCTCCCAAAAAAGGGGAAACTTGTCCCAGTAAGGGGTACACCTGGCCCTCAAGAGGGCAAAGGACAGGGGGTTGATCCAATTTTCACAGATTCTAGGACACATTTAGTTAAACCCTTTTCCAGAGTCTCACTTTTGCCTGTCCTAAGGCTAGAGCTATACTCAGATACCTTGGCTACAAAGGTGGGGCTGTTATCTGATACTGGCAGCCCAAATCTAGGTATAATCTCCTGGAGTAATCTCTTGACTACTATAGAGGCAGTTTCTGTCCTAGTGGGGTACACTTCAACCTAATCTGAAGTGTCTACAAAAACTAGACCTTAATGCTGGTGGTTTAATCTCTGAAATCCACCTACCAATGCTCTCCTGGGGAAGTTCCCTGGGACCCGAATATCAGGGGGACCCCCTTACCTTGCTTAGCATTTACCTGTGCACAGACAGTACTTCTAGCAACTCTGCCTCACAGAAGCTCAGAAGTCTTGGTGACACTTAAGTGGGTAACCTGGTGTCTCTTAGACAGATAGGCAACAGGTCTCTTCCAGGGACCTAGAGTCTGAGTGAGAACCCCTTTGGCAATGCCCCTTACCTCACTCACGTAGAGGTGGAAAGGCTTCGCGACCTCTGGCAAGGCTTGGGCAGGTGCTGAGACAAGAGCCTTCTTTAGCTCCTCAAAGGCCCATTGTCCAGTTCAGCGGCTGCGTTCCTTCAGTACATGTTCCTTCTGAGGTCCACAGTCCTTCTTCGATGTCCAAGGATGCTCCCTGCTTTCTACAATAAACATACTAATTCCTTCCTATTAGTTGCTGGCCTTTTAATTTCAAATTAACTTCTAAACTTTCTTTCTATGTTTTCAAAAATACGTAACCATGCCTCAAATTTTAAAGAAAAGGCAAGGGAGGAGGGAGCAGGTCCAGTACCCTGTTCCCAGGCCTCTACCCGCTTGAAATTTAAAATGCCACATTTTTCCTACAGATACAGATTTATCTGCATTTCTAAGCCCCCCTACTCTTCCCGCAGAACATCGGTGAAAATTGTCCAAGCAGTCGCGGGGGGTTAAATCATTCAAATAATTGTTTTCACATTGTTTTAACACAATTCTAAATAAATTATAAACCTTTGTGATGTGATGAAGTCTACTTAAATCTATAAAGTAGACACACATGACTGAAACCAAAAATGACTCCCAAAATTTACAAAATACAAGATGCAGGTACAAGCCCAAATTCAAGCTTATATGTTATTACAAATGACAACAATGGCATATAAAGTAAAACAAAACAGATCAAATATAAAAGTTTCATATGTTACATTAGAACATTACTTCAGAAAAACGGACTTCAAAAAAATACTGCATCACTGACTTAAAATAATTTTTTTAAGTGTAAGCATCACATACTTTCTCATCTGACAAATGAGAATAAATCAATCCTTGAGATCTTTGATCATTACTGCTTATTTTTAACACATGTAATACAGTTCAGCCTGCCATATTCTAGGCATTTAGTTACTGCAATTAACTCTTCCTAATTTAATTTATACTTTGAACTTTTAAAGCTGGCAAGTCAAATATATTTGGCATTTTTTTAGATTAATAACATTACATTTCTAAGAAAAATACAAAACATAATAATTAAGAGCTTCAATTCTGTTCTCTAGATTTTTGATGAGGCAAATCTAAACTTCACTTTCTTATGTCTCTTCCTTCTCTTACATCCTGCTTACTTAGGGAGAAGTTCAGATCTGGCCATTCCCTGCAGATCACTGGGGGAGAGATTGGACAATGGGAAAGATGCAAATGAACACATTCTTTAGCTGAAGACTCCCGGCATTACCGTCTAGTTCCTGCCTCAGGACGGGAAATTTTAAAAGCTGCTTACAATGCCTAGGGAAACTAGTTTTAATTTATCTCCCAGTTAATCTCCACCATTTTTAAAACTCATTCTGTACACAGAAAAGAGTTTAAGGACAGCCCAAAACTATGCGCACTCGTTTTGAATTGGCCTTTTCCCTTTACATGAGCACAGAAATTCGAGATGCATAAAAACTTTCTTGAGGAGTGTCTTCGCCACGTGTCTCCCCTCCCCAGCCTCCTGCCTGCTTTGGAGGGGGAGAGAGTAACAAGTTTACAAAGAACCCAGAAACAGACAGAGGGCTCCAACTCCGTGGAAGCCAAACCAAACAACGGCCTCACGCCAACCGGTGGCCCTCCGACATTGACAGCTGGCCACCCACTAGAAGGAGTCTGCCATTGGCCCTTCCGGACCTCCACCACACAGAAAACCACAGCAACCAACAAGAGGGCGCCCCACATCAGCCAGACTTAAACCCAGACTTGGGAGAGGTCCGCTGCTCTCCCGCCTTTACAAGAGCACAGAAATTCGCCCATGAGGCCTCTTCTCCTGGACCCGATGCCGCCACGCCGGCCAGGCCCCAGAGCGAGGCTGCTGCCACCGCCGCCCCAGCCACGCTGCTCGGGCGGCCCCCGAGGAGGAAGCGCGGGTTGCCCCAGCGGCTTCCCAGCCCCGCCTTCCCTTCTCCAGGCCGCCAGCAAATTAACCCAGGTGCCTGCTCCCCGAGCGAGGCCACCACTGCCCAGCCACACCCCAACGCGCAGACTGAGCCCCGCGAGAGCCCCCCTCCGACCCAACGCCGCCAGGGGCCCCTACACCAACACACAGGCCACACTTCGCCGGCTCCATCCTCCATGCTGCCCGCCGACACCAAAATCAGACCTGGGAAAGGCTCCCGTCACTTTCCCGCACGTGAGGCAACGGCTCACGCCACTCACCTCGTCCTGGGAGAGGCTTCCATCCCTCCCCCATGTGTGGGTCCCTCTTGGAGAGGATTCCACGTCTCTCCTGACTGAGGGGCCCTCCCGGGAGATCAGAACGTTTTCCGAATCCTCCGGCCCGTGGTCTTAATGGAGCGTCTTCCAGACGTATTCGGGCACCAATGACACAAGGGGTTTCACATCCCTCCAGAGCGCTCACACAAGGACACAGACAAACACACGCTTACCGCGGCCAGTCAGGCTCTCCGGATTGGGGTCCCTCATGGTCCTGGGGATCCCGGACGAGCCCCCATATGTTACGCCCAGACTTCGTGATCCCCAAGGACCACCAGGGAGCTGAGTCCGATGCAATAAACAAAAGAGCCTCTTCCAGGCTAGCATGGGCTCTGTCCCACTCACGCCGGCAGCATGGCGGAAGAGCCCAGAGTTACTTTTAAATTAAGGTGACCAGACGTCCCGCTTTTGGCAGGACAGTCCCAATTTTTAACAATTTGTCCCGCGGGCCGCGTAAAAATCTTTTCAAAAATTGGGACTTTTTTAAAACACCTCGGGACGCGGGACAAATTGTTAGAAATCTGGACTGTCCCGCCAAAAGCGGGATGTCTGGTCACCTTATTTTAAATCCATTTGTACTGACCTCAGAGAGGATGGGAGAAGGAGAGAGAGACAGAGACGATGAGAGAGAATCATGGACCAGCTGCCTCCTGGGGACGGATCCTGCAACACGGGCATGGGCCCCGACCAGGAACCTAACTGGTTCCTAGGGCGATGCTCAACCACTGAGCCACCCCGGCCAGGCAAATTTAGGACATTTTAATAAATTTTTTAAAATTGAAATCTTAAAAGTAAAGGGACAGAACGTGAGGCGTCACCCGTCCCCATGCACTGCCTGACGTCAGAGGAAGACCCAGCTCGAGGCGCCCTGACCGGAGGGCACCGGTCACGGGCCGAAAGCCGCAGAGGAACCACGAGGACACGGGGGTCATGCGGAAGGAGTGAGATTTATTAGAGACGACAGCGGAAACCCCCACCCACCCGCCGGCCTCCTGGACGCCGTGGGGAAGTCACCCCCCACTCCCCGTCCCACTGCC